TTCGATCATATTTGGAAGCATATTTACTAATGTTTTAATGTTTCCTGCTTATTTTCTTCGGTCCTTCTCATCACACATCACTTTAACTGAGGCACCACTTTGTAGTTTTTCCAGAATACTGGTTAATCACAGAAATGCAAAAAGTTAAAATTTTGTGTGCGTGGCATGCATAAACAAAGAAAGTTGTAGGTATTGAGGTAAAATTGTTTAAAAATTGCACTTATAAAGGTTACAATGTTTTGGTTTTAGAGACTTGCATTAATCAAGGAATTGCACGTATTGAGGGTTAAGTATAAGGTTCAAACTAAGAAAAACGCGTTTTTATACCTTATGTCCAGATTCTGAGGAGATATTCAAAATTTTAAGTAGTTATGCATATTTTCTGTGCATCAGCTATCTATACTTTATATAAAATTAAAGCCCAAAAAAACGTGAAAGCAAAACAGCCGATGTACTGGGTCGATTTCTATGATTCACGTTTTAAAATGACATATTCTACCACAGTAGGATACAGTGGTATTTTTAAAATGAAATTTAATAACAAGCGTGTTTAATTAAAGTATTAAGTTGGTTAAAAATACCACGCATTGCTAGACCCTTTGTCTTTCACGCGTTTGTGCTTAGAGAGCATCAACAAACCAAATACATATTTCTCTCTATTCTCTTCTCTTTTTATACTCAGCTAGCACAGCGCAAAATAAAAAAGAATCTTTGCCAGCTTCAGGCATGCGCAAGGCGAAATTTATGTAGAAGCAGCTGTTTTTGTTTTTTTTTTACTCCATAATGCTGCTTGCTGCGATATCGGCACATGCTCACCACAGTATGCTGACTGTAAGCTTCTTGGTGTGGCATCAGTGATCGGACCTCAACCACATTGTCGTAGATCTACCAGTTTTTTAAGCATCTACCACTCAAGGTCTGAAATCTACCACATATTCGCGTTTTTGAGTAGTTTTATTTTTGCTTGACATAATTTTCTTAATTTTAAGAGCAAAAATTGTCCAACACTAAACACCATGATTCAATAATACAAGGTCTTGTAGTTTGTGACAGCTAAAATTTGACACTCCTTTATCTATATTTGTATTTTGGAAGTAGGAGAAAGGGGATGAATGTGATCGCATTTTGCGAAAACGGTAGTAAAATGGTACAACAAAAAGTACGCAAAGTATACAATTAAGAGTAAAATGTGTATTATTAATTCTATACGAATTTGCAATATATTTGGTGTTTTAATGGAAATACTAAAAAATACATAAAAATATGCATTTTTGATTTAAGTTATTCGTCATTTCCGGGAACAAATCTAGAATACCGACCGTTCAGCTATGCAAAAACGAAAAATGCAGATCAATAGAACTTTTTATGCTCATTTCAACCATGCCAAAATGATTTGGCGCAAGTAAAAAATGAAGACGTTCTAGAAGGTTAAAGTTCAGTTTTTAGATATTTTAAACCAAGGAATGAAACCGATTCAAAATAACGTTCCGGTTTGGGTTTCGGTTTTGCCAAGTGTTTCGGTTTCGGTTTTGGTTTCGTTCTTCAAAATTTATTTCGGTTTTGGTTTCGGTTTCGTTCCGGTTCCGGTTTTTCACAGAAATTTTGTTGGTATTATTTAAATCACAATGCCTTAAACGTTGAGGAAAGAAAATCGAAAATTACAGTTCACTGATAATATCAACACTAGGTTCTTTCCCTAACAATCCGGACCGGATTTGGTAATTAGAGAATAAGAGAAACATTTTCTTTCAAAAATGGAACAAAGTTCAGAAGTACGGAAACGCAAAAACCCACATTTCGTGCCCACAAGTCGAGAAACAGCTGATTCACGTTGTTCTTGTTTTTGTCACTTATACCATGTTCTGACCGACATCGGAAACATGTTTTCGTTGCTAAAACTTTTTTTTTCGATTATTTATCGAAGTGGAAGTCATATTTTATCATCTTTAATACGCCATTTCGGATTTATTGTTAATTGCCTGGCCAAAGCAAAATAAGAATGAAAGTTAAAGGTTGTAAATGAAAAGAAAATGAAGGAAAAATGTTTTGGTTGTCGGTCAGAACATGGTATTAAATGCAAACACTTGGAAATTGAATGTTGGTTTCACAAATTTGATTTTAAGTACATTAAATTAAGTACAATTANCTCGGAGGAAATTTCGGGCTATTTCGGGCAGGAAGAAGAATACACTTACGATCGAATACGCTCGAATTTTCGCTCTCTATTACCCATTTTGTTGAGTACAGGCATGATTTCTGGGCTATTTTGGGCACACGCGGGATCTCGCATTGCGTACGGGAAAGAAGCTCCTTAAATATAATTAATCGATTATCGATTCACAACAACAAAGTCATCAGCAGATTTTTGCGAAAAGTTACCTTGCCATACTTATTTACTACTTAACAAGAAATTTAGCAAAATGTTGCTGATTTTGGTTAAATAAATCATTTATTTCTAAGAAATTTGTATTTAATATTTTTGTAAACTTCCGGAAACCGATTGAAACCTGTGATTGAAATGGTTTCGGTATCGTTCCTTTTCAGGTCAAGATAACGGTTACGGTTTCGGTTTCGGTTTTGAAAAACGAAACGGTTTTAAACGGTTACGGTTTCGGTTTGGGTTTCGATTTCATTCATTGTTTTAAATATTAATATCTTATGAGCTTTATAACCGATTAAAAAACTAATGACGTCACCATAAAGATAATTAATTTGTTCTTCAGCTGATGTACATAATTTATAGCTTTTTGTATTTTTAAACAAAAACCACTAAAAAACGAACAAATGTTATTTTTTCATGAAATAACCTTTTTTGAAAAAAACTGCTAAATTAATAAAGAAATTTATATTATTTAGAATGAACAAGTTATTATCTTTAGTTCGATATTACATATTTTATCATGATCTACTTTTGGGTTTCAACAATTAAGTGATAATAAAAAATACAAATAAACCTCTTATATCTTCTTTATTTTTTACATGTGCCAAATAAATTTGGTATCGTTGAAATCAGCGTAAAAAGTTCTATCAATCGGCATTTTTGGTTATTTTATAGCTAAACGGTCGCTATTATACACTTGTTCTAGAAAATTACGCAAACGAAGGTGACGCCAACGAATATTTAGTATGAAGAAATTTTGGTTTTACTACTAATATCACTTGAAACTATCGAGTAAGCAACATTCTCCACAAGTAAAGGAGCCGATTTTATGTGTGGGAGCGAGAAGACTGTTTTATTACAAAACCTTTCTATTATTGAATCATGACTAAACACTATATGGTAAAAAAATTATATAATACAAGATTCCGCACTCCCGGCGACGACGAAATTTCTCAAGTAAAATAAACAAATCCGAATGGGAGGATAAATAAACTGTAAAATAGTAAATTTTTTCAGTAATCAATTTTTCGACAGAAAACGCGGTTTTATTGTGTTAAATTACAAAATATATGATTTATAAAAAGAATTAATAGCGAAAATGTTAAAAAACGGCGATTTTTGTGGAAGTATTAGCAAATTTAAATGCATGTAAGGTTTCTGAGGCGTTGTTTACTTTTAGTTGAAATTTGTAAAAATCGGCAAATCCCAATTAGCTGCTTCTGGAACGTGCCACATTTGTTCGCTACTTCGTGATGTGATAAAAAGAAAAGCTGGAAGAACTCCGCAAGGTTGCAGAAATCTCTTAAAATATGTTCGAAAAATATCTTAGTATGGAAGGAACTGCTTTACACTGTCAAGGAAAAAAATTGCCAAAAGTCAACGCAATTTTTAGCAACTTAAATCTTGCACTTTCTTATACAAAAACTAAATTTTTTTAGAGTCTAATTAAAAGGTTTGCCATTTGGGTGAAACCTTGCGGAATTTTTTTGAAAGTTTGATCCAAACCCAGAGATCTACCACATTTTTTGTTTAAATCTACCACAATTTTTTCCAGATTCTACCACACAGAATTTGTTTAAAGTGCGATCACTGTGTGACATACATACATACATTGATCTTCTTCTTATACATATTTCTCTTTATTCTCTTTTCTTTTTATACTCAGCTAGCACAGCGCAAAATAAAAAAGAATCTTTTCCAGCTACAGGCATGCGCAAAGCGAAATTTATGTACATGCAGCGCTGCGCCCAAAGCGAAATTTATATATGTGTGCTATGTGTGTATTTCGTTAGGCAACTGTTTTTGTTTTTTTTTTACTTAAAAATGCTGCTTGCTGCCAAGAATGATAGAATACAAGATTGCGCCAATGAGAGGATTTTTGAGCGTAATTTTTGCGTGACGTCATCTTGGTGCAATTTCGAGAGAGAAATGCCAAAACACATATAAAAATATGTAAAGAATGCAGAAAAATATGTTAATTTTAATATTACACGGCCCAATTTTGAGGGAATCAATAAATATACAAAGATTGATTAATTAGGAATACGTAGCAATAATTTTGGACATGTAGCCCTTTAGGTAAGTACGATTTTTAGCACATGAAAAAATGGATGTATTAAAAGTGTTTGCAATTTCAGGTATATCTAAAGGAAGGTGCGCAGAAAAGTGAATTTTTGGACTCGCCATTGTAAAAAGCCATGCAGAGTGCATATTTATATTTGAGGACGGTAGCCAACCACCATAAACTCCACAGCTGTTGACTCCACAGCTTTTATTTAATGACTTTAGTACCATTTTCGAGAGGATGCATGAGTGTGGCTTCTTTGGAAACAAATATTCTATGTAAGTAAAACATAATTTAAGCTGAACTTTTAAATGTATAATAATTTGGGCACTGTTTTGTATTAGAAACGTAACAGCGCGGTAAGATGCCGCTTGAATTAGCGCCTGGCGACCTTATCCACTGGAGCATTACCTCATACCAGCACTAAAAAGAATCAGGTACTAACAAAAATAACTAGGTAGTGAATTTCATGTATCTATCACTCGTCCAAGCGCTTTTGCATCTGCTCTACCTCGTAAACGTGTTTTTTTGTTTTGTTTTTTCATACTCGCAGGTTCATATTTTCTCGCTTTAATGTTTCTCTACTATGCATGTAATAAGAAGAAAACTGTTCAATAAACCAAGATTTTTAGTGCTATATTGCTTTTAAAAACTTACAATTTTGCTTCCAACTCTTCAACTTCCTGCAAACTGCTGTCATAATAAAATACTTTGCGAGGTGTTGAAGTCGTGGGAATATCGGAAAGATTTGCTTCCGTAAGGCTATTTTCCTTATTATTCACACTTTCATCAGATATATTTGCATCAACAGTATCACTCGCAACGGCTATAGAAACTTAGCTACAGTATAATGTAAAATATTATATAAATGCAGATTGTTACCTGCAGTGGCAACGGCAGTCTCACTCTGTTGAAGTAACTTGCGGACAATTCTTTTGTTTTCCCTGTGCTGAGCTCTTTCCGCACGCTGGGAATCCCCCAGATTTTCTTCGTAAATGTTAGGCACCGCACCACGTTTTAAACGACGAAGTTTTGCAAAACCTGAGGCATTTACAAAAACAATGTTAAATGCAATTAATATGAAAATACACAATATGTTACCCATTTCGAACTGTGTATTATTTTCAATATCTTCGCTAGTAAAGTGCTTCATGCACGCATAGCTCGATTTGGTGTTTAGTGCATCTCCTCGCCGGCAGAACTGCTTCCACTTTTTCGCCAGATTTGCGTCCGTAGGAAACGAAAAAAACATATCGCACGCTTTCCTTCTGTTTTAACTATTGCACTTTGCCACGGCACACTTCATTTTGCTTTGTAATGTCTCAATAATTGTTTAAAACCACGCAGAAATATTAACGCACAAATATAAAAATTGTTATTTGGTTCGTATGCTCACAATCAACAATTGCACCAAGATGACATCACGCACACAGCACAGTATACAGTAAACCAGCCATTGACAATATGCTTATTTGAAAATTAATACATGAAATATTGTGAATGTATAGGATTTATTTGTCATCAACCCATAGGCAGCGACTGATGCAAAAGTACCCACAAATGTTTGTTGATGCATTTGACATGTAAATTTGAACAGCAAAATTCGTAAAAAAATACTAATAAAACAAAAATATTTTTAATTACTACGTGGGAAGTGGGCGTGGTTATTGGCAGATTTCGCCAAAGTTTAACACTATCCTAACTTATACCAAAGGCAACTTCGACACCGACTTTCGTTAAAATATCTAAATTTTGTTCGAGTTAGCGTGTTTACAAACAGAGAGGGCTGAACTAGTTCATCTCGTAATTTTGAATATTTTGATATATATGTATGCATATGTGTACATATGTACATACATTTTATACGGTTAACAAACGCGCTTGCTTATCTGCATAAACCGTCTTTACTTGGATTAATTCATGCATTATCCCCTTTCAAATGTGAATAAGCGGCTGAACAAATACATACAAATTTCGCGCATTTGAAAATTAGAGAGTTCTACCTTAAGCTATGTAATAATTGTTTTACCGCCTAATCGATGGGACCATTTTAAAAAGTCAGCCCGCCATTACTCACTCACGTGTTCGGAACACGGTTTGACTTATGTAGGAACTGCGCCCGGTTATAATCGCTTACGCTTCACGCTTGATTTGCTTGGGGTTGTGTGTTAAAACAGAAAAATACTTGGAGTTATAAAAACTTTGGTTATGTAAGAGTTAGAAAAAATAGTACCTCGCGAATTTTCCGCTTTCTGAAATTACAAAATTAATCTTCTTAAATTTTAGTCATGGTAAATCAAATCTTAAGAAGTGAGTTGTTTGACATTTGGAGAAGTGTTGCTGAAACTTCTAAAAGACAACAGGGTGTCCGTGATTATGTGATTAGTAAATTGAAAGAAATATCTGATGAAAATGCTCGTTCCGAAGTAAATAAAGTAAATTAAGTAAATGACTTTAGATTCGTAATCAGCAACCCAGAAAACCCCCCGGTACCCAATTACATAGAAATCTACCGATTTTTTTTTTAATTTTCGTCCGCCATATTGGATCCGCCATTTTGAATTTTTGGTAAATGACTTTAGATATGTAATCAGCGACCCAGAAAACCCCCAGATACCCAGTTTCATAGAAATCTACCGATTTTTTTGATGTGTACACATCTTTGGTTTCGGTAGGGGTAAAATTTGCGAAGCTGTAACGCATATCCCAGCACAAAATTTCGAAGGGCTTAGCATGTGTGTTTCAGCATAAAATTTTTATTTTCATTAGAAGCACCCTGTGTTTGCTTACCAAATGGTTGCATACATTTAGGAATATGCATAGTAAGAGGAAATGCGCTACAATTGATTATTACATCCGATTATTTAAACTCCGCACATGCATACGGCTTTGTACCTATGTACGTACATAAATATGTATGGACTCATTTGTTGCAACTAAAAAGCAAGGCGAAAATTAAAAAAAAATACTGAAATCATTTTAACCGTTGATAACTGATGAACATACATGAATATATGTATGTATAATATGCATATGTATAGATGATATAATAGCTCTGATCCAATACTTTTCGTGTAAAATCCTGGAAGAAGGTCAAACAGCAAAATCACTCTCTGAAGTGAGAGTAAAAAGTGAGTAACAGCAGAACGTATGGAACAAAAAAGCATCGGATAACATCCTGCAACATGAACTGCATTTACATGAACCACAGATTATATTCCGAAAAGAAAAACTAAAATTAGGAATATATACAAATATAAATGCTCAAACTATAAGCTCAAAAACAATAACTGATGCGGTGTTTCCAAGATATTTTAACGCCCTTGAGTAACAAGTATATACAAGTATATTTTATCAATCATACCGATAATTTCATGTATTAAAAGAATTAA